ACCCCAATCCGTTGATTAGGGCACTGGCTATCAGAACAATGGGATGTATTCGGGTCGATAAAATGGTCGACTACATGGAGGAACCACTTCGCAAAACACTCCGGGACGAATCACCGTATGTCCGAAAGACTGCTGCGATCTGCGTGGCGAAGCTATTCGACTTGAACGCTTCACTGTGTTTGGAGAATGGTTTTCTTGAGATGCTGCAGGAAATGATTGGCGATCCAAATCCTATGGTGGTTGCGAACTCGGTGACCGCGCTTTCGGAAATTCATCACGCCGCCCCCGAGACCCGAGCCCTCCAAGTGACATCTAACGTACTGCGGAAGTTGCTGATGGCGTTGAATGAATGTACGGAGTGGGGTAGGGTCACAATCCTGACAACTCTGGCAGAATACAAAACCAGTGATGTGACGGAGTCGGAGCACATTTGCGAGCGAGTCGCGCCACAATTTCAACACGCCAATCCAAGTGTAGTACTGGCAGCGGTCAAGGTCGTTTTCCTGCACATGAAGAACATCAAGCAGGAGTTGTCGAGCAACTACTTGAAGAAGATGGCGCCCCCTCTAGGTATTCCTCTTGAGCCGAATTGTTATCCCGAGAACATGGCACGCTGATATCTATATAGTGACTCTGGTGTCCTCCGCTCCGGAAGTACAATATGTCGCATTGCGAAACATCGATCTGTTATTGCAGAAGCAGCCCGATATTCTGAACAAAGAGCTGCGGGTTTTCTTCTGCAAGTACAATGACCCTCCTTATGTCAAGTTCCAGAAACTGGAAATTATGGTCCGCATAGCCAACGACCGCAACGTCGATCAGCTCCTCGCAGAACTGCGGGAGTACGCATTGGAAGTCGATATGGATTTCGTGCGGCGCGCCGTGAGAGCCATAGGCCAGGTTGCCATCAAGATCGAGAGTTCATGCGAGAAATGTGTAAACACATTGTTGGATTTGATCAACACCAAAGTGAACTACGTTGTACAGGAGGCTATTGTTGTCATCAAAGACATTTTCCGAAAATACCCTGGATACGAAGGCATCATCCCTACTCTCTGCAAATGCATTGACGAGTTGGATGAACCGAACGCCCGTGCCGCGCTCATCTGGATAGTGGGAGAATATGCAGAGAAGATTAGCAATGCTGGCGACATTCTGGCCGGGTTTGTGGAAGGGTTCAATGAGGAATTCTCACAGGTCTGGTTGCTGCGCTCGACTTGTGGATGCCAAAGCTAATTCTTTAATCAGACCCAGCTTCAGATTCTTACTGCCGTCGTAAAGTTATTCTTGAAGCGGCCTGAGAAGGCTCAAGGACTGGTTCAGAAAGTTCTCCAGGCGGCAACGGCTGAGAACGATAATCCCGATGTCCGTGACCGAGCCTACGTTTACTGGCGTCTTCTCTCCAACACAAGTGATCCCAATGCTACGAAGAACATTGTTCTTTCCCAGAAGCCTCCTATTGTTACGACGATCCACTCTCTACCCCCCGCTCTTCTTGAACAGCTGATCGGTGAACTCTCTACTCTTGCATCCGTCTACCACAAACCACCAGAGCAATTCGTCGGTCAGGGCAGATTTGGCGCAGATGCCGTGCAACGGGCTGCTATCGAGTTCGTTCCCATGCTTCTCAATCCATTCTTGAGCTGTCAGCTAATATGATGGAACAGAGAACAAATCCAAAACGCCCGTGAAAACCCCTTGGCTGCAGCGGCAGCGGCTGCCGCAGTCACGGGTGCTACACCCCCGCCACAGGCTCAAAACAACATTGAGAACCTCCTGGATATCGATTTCGATGGCGCAGCTCCCGCCTCGACTCAGAAAGAACCTGCTACTGGAATGTCTGGTCTCGAGGGTCTTGCTGGTACTCCCGTTCGAGTAGAGTCTCCTGCTGTTGGCGCGCCCGCTCCTACCTCAAGCAACAACCTGGATGACCTCCTTGGTGTGTTCGGCGATAGTGGCAGTACCGCTGCATCAGCCAGCACCGCTGTTCCCAACGGCGGTGATGCCGCTGCGGATCTCATGAACGGCTTCTCTGGCCTTGATCTGTCCGCCAACACCACGTCGCCACCCCCAGGGGGCAATCCGCAAAGAAAGACCAATGAGGATATTCTGTCACTGTTCTAACGCGGGGATGCTCTGGTTATTTGATGATTTGGCGTGACCATCTCAAGGTCAGGAGTAGTATTTACAGTTGTTGATATAGATCCCATACCATTGTCCGATTCGCACCGAGCTGGATATTAATTGACCTACATAGTTAACCAAATTTATCTTTCTTTGTTCTCTGTCGCTTGTTCGTTTGATTGACTATGCTTGGCTGGATCCAGGTACTCTTGTATCATGATGCCAAGATATCAGATCGCCAACCATTTATGCACGTGATCCCGGTGTGCCGTTGTCGGCGACGCTAACCCCCAAACAGGCATGGTCCTCCCCGCGGCGTTTTGAGAAAGATAGTTCTGAGGTGGGATGAATCATCGCCAAACTCGCCTTCGTCCATTCTTTTACAATTGAGTCGCTGATTGCAATTGTCTTGTACACGGAGCCGTCATCTCAATTGAGACACCTGGTATACCCACGACATCAAACTTTACTTCCTAGCCATGTCTCATACGCTTTCACAAAAATATCTCAGCACGCGGGGTGCATCCTACGGGGTCGGTCGAGAATTATTCAATCTTATCCCGAAAGATCATTCTGCTGACCTACTGGCTGTATAGCTGTCCTTCGAAGAGGTCGTCCTTAAAGGATTGGCGTCCGATGGTGGCCTGTTCATCCCCGAAGAGATTCCCTCGCTTCCTGCGGGATGGGAGACGGAGTGGCGCGACCTGAGTTTCGAAGATCTCGCATATCGTATCATGTCGTTGTACATCTCGCCGAGAGAAATTCCCTCGGAAGACCTCAAAGATATCATTAGACGCTCATACGCTACATTCCGGCACCCTGAGCGGACACCTCTGGTTGAATTGGACGGAAAACGCAACCTCTACTTGCTCGAATTGTTCCACGGACCAACATTCGCCTTCAAGGATGTAGCGCTACAGTTCCTCGGAAACCTCTTCGAATATTTCTTGGTGCGCAAGAATGAGGGCAAGGAGGGCAAGGACAGACACCACTTGACCGTTATTGGCGCCACCAGTGGAGATACTGGATCTGCAGCCATCTACGGTCTCCGTGGCAAGAAGGATGTCTCCATCTTCATCCTCTTCCCTACTGGACGGGTGTCGCCTATTCAGCAGGCTCAGATGACGACAGTCTTGGATGCCAACGTCCACAACCTGACAGTCGAGGGCTCTTTCGATGATTGCCAGGACATTGTCAAGGCCTTGTTTGCCGATCCTGATCTCAACTCAACCCACAACATTGCCGCTGTCAACTCCATCAACTGGGCTCGTATTCTGGCTCAGATCACATACTACTGCTACTCCTACTTCTCTCTCACTAAGACCCCCGGCTTCTCCAAAGACGGGAAGATGCGCTTCGTTGTGCCTTCAGGAAATTTCGGTGACATCCTCGCCGGATGGTTCGCTAAGCGCATGGGCCTTCCCGCTGAGAAGCTTGTCATCGCAACCAACGAGAACGACATCCTGGACCGCTTCTTCCGTAGTGGTGGCCAGTACACCAAGAACACCACACAGGCCGAAGGCGTCAAGGAGACTCACAGCCCCGCCATGGACATCCTCGTCAGCAGCAACTTTGAGCGTCTCCTCTGGTTCCTGGCCTTCCAGGCCGACGGCGCCAGCTCTGCGGACGAAAGACGCAAGCACGCCTGCGAGAGCGTCAGCGACTGGCTCAATCAGCTCAAGACACAGGGCGGTTTCACCGTACCCCAGGCCGTCCTCGAGGGTGCCAAGGTCGAGTTCGAGAGTGAGCGGGTGAGCAACGACGAGACCATTGACCAGATTAAATCCACCTACACCTCTTCGTTCCCCTCCAACCTCGGCCCCGGCAGCGCCAAGAGCTCCAAGACTGGCGGCTACATCCTCGACCCTCACTCTGCCGTCGGTGTGCGGGCAGCTCTCCGTTCCATCGAGCGTAATCCTGGCGTCAAGCACATCTCCCTCTCCACAGCCCACCCGGCCAAGTTCGCAAGCGCCGTCGACCTGGCCCTGCGCGCCGAAGACGGCTATGACTTCACCGAGGTTCTTCCCCAGGAATTCATCGGGCTCGAGCAGCGCGAAAGCAGAGTCACTCCTATCCGCGCCGGCGCCGGATGGGTTGGTGTCCGAGAAGTGGTCAAGGCCGAAGTCGAGCAGGAGCTGCAGGGCTTGAGGTAGTGAACTATTTCGACGAAGCTTTTTTGTTTCTCCGGATGTATTTATCTTCCATATCTCCTCTATTTTGCTCCTTTTCAATCTTTATTAGAGGTTTAGGCTGGTGGAATGGATGTGTTTACATCATTTCTGTTCCGGACCCTACTTTAATCTGCTTTTGCATAGAGCATACCTAGATCATAGAACCAATGTCAAATAACATGGCTCCTGGATTAGCATTTCTATTGCTGACATTCTTTAATTATGCATCCGAGGACTCTTCATTAGTGCATAGGAGAGCGCAAGTCGCTATCCACGAACTGGGTTACATAAGTCGACGAGAATCGGGAGTACGAAATCTAACCGACATTCTAATAGCGTGAACGTGATCACGATGTGGTGAGAACCGCCTAACTACCTGGATACGCTGGAAATTTATCATATTTGAAAAGCGTAACTAAAAGGGACAGCGGGATGAGATTGACTCTATAAAGCATGCAATGTATTTGCTACGCCCGTATTATATTACTATTACTTGGTTATTTGACAAACAATAACTCCGTCCATAAACCATGAGCGAAGGAACAACTTTTTCAAAGTAGATGGCCGAAATTTGCTTGCCAAATGACAAACAGAGACCAAGTCAAAACCGTGCGAGAAGAGAAAATCCAGGATGATTGAAAATGTGCCTTTCCCGCCCGTATGACAGCCAGTCACCTTGAATACGGAAGGTCATAGATGGATGCTTTAAAGCATGAGCATGACAGCCCAGATACCAGCCAGGAGACCGGCGGCAGGCTCAAACTGGGAAGCAGAGCCAGTGAGAGAAGTCTCAGCTGGCGGCGGCGAGACAACAGTGGGCTGGCCAGGAACAGAGGGCTGCTCAGGAACAGAGGGCTGCTCAGGAACAGAGGGCTGGCCGGGAACAGAGGGCTGGCTGGGAACAGAAGGCTGGCCGGGAACAGAAGGCTGGCCGGGAACAGAGGGCTGGCTGGGAACAGAGGGCTGACCAGGGACAGAGGGCTGACCAGGGACAGAGGGCTGGCCAGGAACAGAGGGCTGGTTGGGGACAGAGGGCTGGCCGGGAACAGAAGGCTGACCAGGAACAGAAGGCTGACCAGGAACAGAGGGCTGACCAGGAACAGAGGGCTGGCTAGGAGCCGAGGGCTGTCCAGGGGCAACAGGAGTTGGCTGCACAGGAGGAGGAACAGTGCTGTTGGTGAAAGGAGCGGGCAGGGGGGGTGGGATAACAGTAGTGTTCTGGCCGGGGACACCTGTTGGGACAAGAGGAGGCGGCACAATAGTAGTCGCGTTCTGAGTCGGGACAGAAGTCGGAACCAGAGGATGGGTAGGCGCAGTTCCAGTGGGCACGACCACTGGGGTCTCGGTGTTCAAGTCAACGACGGTAGTGGCAGTCACAGTAATTGTGTTAGTCAGAGTGATAGGAACAGTCAGAGTCTTCGTTCCAGAAGTGACTGTCGTGTGGGAAACTGCGTTAAGAGTATTAGACACGTGCGCTTGTGAAGGTCAGGTGGAGCATCATACTTGGGCAGGAAGTGGTCAAGTAAGTTGCCGTCCTGGTGAACCAGTGAGGCTCACTAGTCCACTTACTGGGAGCAGTTGGACCAGGGTAACCAGAATGACCCTATAACCGCAATGTCAGTGTGTCTGCCACGCAGAAGGTAAGAGAAGCTGGGGTGGCCTACGCGTGCCTCGTCATTGCCCTTGTTCGGCATAATGCCAGCAAAGGCTGGCCCGGCCAGAGCCAAAAGTGCAATGCCAGAGTTGACCATTTTGGAAATTAATTTCTTGCTTTTGCGACAGAAGTTTCTGGATAGCAACAAATGACAATTCCCGAAGGGAGCAAGAAAACGAATGAAGAGTCTGAGAGCGAGCGACTTTCTTTAACGAAAAGGTGAAAGAAAGAATTGAAAAGGAAAACAGTTAGGATCGCAGGAGGAGCTCTACTTTATATCTCGAGGGTGGAGTCGCATGCCGTTTTCATGAGATTACTCGTAATGGTAGTGGTACCATGTCGTATCCACGTTCAACGAGGATGACGACCAATATCTGGTCCCAGATAACTCGAACATTGATTGGCCTCCAACCTGAGCAGGCTGATAATACCCCATCGATCCATGGATAATAGAGGTACCGATGTAATGCTATCAAGGGAAAACTCTTATGTGGGAGCCTGTCGTGTGTCAAGACCAGGAGATCAATGTGACATCTCGGAGTTTCATTCGGATGAATGGCCGAGGATACCCTTCTCAGCCTCTCAAGAGACGGGGCAACAAGAGGAGGCACGGAAGTCCAGGGACCAGAAGTAATGGCGTCACCAACATCAACTAGTGAGACAAAGGTAACATGAACCAGCATTACCAAATGGAGTCCTCACGGATACTGAGATCTTGTCACGAAAAAGCCACCTCACGCGAAAATAGAAACAAGCCGCTCACAGCTCGGCGCCACCATGGAGCCTCAGTCTGAGATGGTCGAATCACACGGCAGAAGGGCGACTGAAGCAACACTGGAATGTGGAGTTAGAAATGGGTACGCCCATTCAATGCTACCTGCCGAAGCTTAAAGAAGGAGCAAAAGGTACTGGAGTCAATCCAGCAGGCTTAGCCAAACTCCATAGTTTGAGACCCATGTAAGTAGAGGCTAGAGCATTGCTCAGCTCGTTCCGAGAGAAGAGCCTCCATGCCTAAATGCTGGCTGCTGCCTCCAGCCAGTGTTGTCAAACGCCTTCATAAGGTCTTTGATCGACGATGACGCATATCAGATCCATGTCGAGATCTCCGGTATGCTCACTGCTACCATTTTCAGCCAATGAAAACTTCTAAACTCAAGTACAATGGCAAAAGAACCCCAGGGAACATTTGTAGCCGAAGGTGGTGGAGCCTTTCTGAATGTAACGAGGATCTCCCTTGATTGGATATCTTTGCGAGAATCAGGGCAGATGTAGGCATCATACCACTCGAGACGAGCCAGAGAGAGGAGGAAATCTCTGACGACAAGTTGAACGACCTTACAATAATACCGCAAGCGGAAGTTGAAAGGGGAAAGAGATCGTTCCTGGCGAGGTTGTGGTTGCATGAGACTTCCAGGGAAAATGACCGTTTGCGGTCGGTGGTCTTATCAGGGTAGACAATGTCACGTGAGGTGTGAGCATATCACGTGTTACTCTATCGATAAGGATAAGGGCTAGGGCTGATAAGGGTCACTCCCATTCAATTAGAGGCACGCGTTCGGGACGCGTATCGCGTTGATGGATGTGGACTACATGAATGATGTTGTAGGACAGAGAGTCGCTAAAGTTATCCCACTGCTCACCATCAATCAGATACATAATGCCTCACTCAGTTTCCTCCTCTGAGTCGCCCGCTCACGATCATGATGATGAGATCCTCCCTGATGCCCCTGCGACGGATGCGCATTCTAGCATTACGGAAGATAAAGCGCCAACCGTGCAAGAAAACCAGGCAACAGGCGTGAGGCTAGAAGATATGTTCAGCGACGAGGACAACGACGAGGAATTTCCAGCTTCGGATGCTCCTGAACCGCAAAATGAGGGGACAGCACCCCAAGCTGCTTCGGAGTAAGCGCAGTTTGTTCTTGCATTTGAGCATGGCACTGACGTTAGATGTACATTTAGGCCCGCTCCTCAATCGACACAAGTCGACACACATATAATGCTCGCTTTCTATCAGCGCCTATTTCCGTTCCGCTACCTCTTTCAATGGCTGAACCATGGGATTATACCCTCTCCTGATTTTGGGAACCGTGAATTCGCTCTTACGCTTCAGAATGACGCATATCTTCGTTATCAATCATACGCGACTGCAGACCTGTGAGTGGCAGAAGTTGTGGGCCTATAATTTATCGATTCCTGACAAATGCTCCCTTAGATTCCGTAAGGACATCTTGAAAATGAACCCTTCGCGATTTGAGATCGGTCCCGTATATAACACAAATCCGCGGGACCGGAAAACACTACGAGGCGGTCAGATGAAACCAATCTCCAAAGAGCTAGTGTTCGATATTGATTTGACGGATTATGACGACATTCGGTCTTGCTGCACCAAGGCAAATATCTGTCGGAAATGCTGGACTTTCGTGACTATGGCGATGAAAGTGGTGGATACTGCCTTGCGTGAAGACTTTGGCTTCGAGCACATCCTTTGGGTATACTCAGGTCGTCGTGGTGCTCACGCATGGGTGTGCGATCCGCGTGCTCGCAGTCTCCCCGATGACCGGCGAAGGGCCATTGCCGGCTATCTCGACGTCGTGAGAGGAGGGTCTCAAAGCGGGAAGCGAGTGAATATGAAACGGCCGTTACATCCACATATGTCCCGTAGTCTTGAAATTCTCAAACCCTTCTTCGCCCAAACTACACTTGTCGACCAGGATACGTTCGCAAGCTCAGAACAAGCGGAGCGCCTCCTCTCATTGCTCCCGGACAAGACACTGAATGACGCACTGCGCAAGAAATGGGATTCGTCGCCCGACCGGTCCAGTACGAACAAATGGGCAGACATCGATGCGCTTGCTAAATCTGGCAAGAGTAGTACTCTCAACCCCACCACTCTGAGAGACGCGAAACAGGATATCGTGCTGGAATACACATACCCGCGACTCGACGCTGAAGTCAGCAAGAAAATGATCCATTTGCTCAAGAGCCCTTTCGTCATCCATCCCGGTACGGGGCGTGTCTGTGTTCCCATCGACGCTAAAAAGGCAGACGAATTCGATCCTCTCTCCGTCCCAACAGTCACTCAATTACTCGCGGAGATTGACGCCTGGGATGCCGAACACTCCAGCGGTAATGCAGGCGCAGAAGTCCAGGGTGAAAGCAGCACACCTAGCGACTCCCAAGGAAGCCGCAAATTGCAAGATTACGAGAAGACGAGCCTAAAGCCATATATTGAATACTTCCGTTCATTCATCGCTTCTCTGAACAAGGAAGAACGCGTCGGCAAACGAAGAAATGAAGATCCGGTTGAGGTAAAATCGGAAAGCATGGAATTTTAAGGGCATTTACTGTTTGCATTTGTTCTGTTTCATGGTTGGGTTCTTGATACTGGGATTTCCAGGTTTCTGGTCTTAGCGGAAATATTGGTTTATGCTGGCGAAGTAAAGGCGTTTATACGTGTTGGTTAGGCTGTATATAAGCCATGCAATTGAATCAAGGATCCGATGCCAAAACTCATATTTTGGGTCATTCTACGCTACTATGGTAAACTCGGCGATAAGCTTGATGACGCTTTGAATGGGTGGTTTAACATTTTCAATTAGTTGTGTAACTACGTACAACAAATGATCCTGGATTCGTTTCTAATGATACACAAATGGGGGAATAGCGGATAAGTAGTTATGGTCTCCCAACGGGTTTTAATACAATATACGCGAAGACCTAGTAGGGACTTCAGAGCGCTTCTTCGCCACGGAGATTTCGGTATTTAAGCGGCGACAAAGTTCTTGACGTCTGCGACCAGCAGTGTTAGCCACACGAGCGAAGACGTAAATGGCAGTGATCAAACTTACTCTCGAGCCAGCGAACGTATTCCTTCTGCTCCTTAACCTGGATGTAGTCGGGAATCATGTTGGCGAGCTCGGCGTTGATGCCTCTCTCTTCGAGGTAGCGCTCAAGGAAGGTCTGCAGGTCCTCGTCAAGATTCTCGAAAGGAGGACCAGCGTAGAGGCTCTGCCTGGCCCAGTCTTGCTCGGCAGTTTGGGCGTGGGCGAGGTCAGGCTTGGAGAAGTAAGACACCTCCTCGATCTGGAACAGACCATCCTGGGCAACGGTCTGGATCAGGAGAGAACCGTTGCCGGGCTTTTCGATGGTGATGTTGACACGAGCAGGGAAGCTGGGCTCCATATCACGGTCTAGATCATCCATTTCGCGGTCGGCGGGAGCAATGCGATCCTCGGGGTGCTGAGCAACAGCACCGGGGGCACCGCGACCCTGGTTAGCGGGCTGGTGGCCCTGGAAGTCCATCTCATCAGCGAAAGCGCTGTCATCGAAATCCTCCTGTTCGCTCAGGTTCTGAAGGTCGGCGACGGTGAAGGTGAGTCGGATCCTGTCCGTAGATGGAAGTATTAGTGGAGGAGCCGGAGGTTCTCTTTGAGAGATACTTACTCCTCTTTGCCGAACTTCTTGGTCAACACGACCTCCTGTTCACCAGGAACATCCTTAACCTATGCACAATCCGTGAGTCCGTATCGCAATCAACGATGGTTGTGGTTCGTATACTAACCTCCCAGGAGTTGTTCTGAAGAACAAACTGGATGTTCTGGACCGAGGTCTCAAGATCCTCAAGGCCGGAGGCCTTCTCATGTTTCAATTCATCCTCAAGCTTTGCAACAAGTTCGATGTCACCTAACATAATGACATTGGATGTTAGCTTGATGTTTTGCTCAATGAAACCAGCCTTGCGAGGCCACCGGGACTCGCGCCCGATCAATAAATGAATATGAAAGAGAAAATTTGAACTATCTTTTTCTCCATAGATAAGTCGGAGGAAAAGCTTTATAGGAATCTTTACCTTCAGCAGGAGATTGTCTGAAAACACTAGAGGTAGAGAAAGCAGCGTAGGAGGGTCTTGTAGCCTGCTTCAACGAAGCTTGCAGAAAGCCATTCTTGGGAACCGACAGGAAGGACGAGCGGGAGGTGGTAGCGATGGACCGTGAGAGTGTGCGAGGCACGGAACGTGCGAATGTACGAAGAGAAAGCATCTTAAAGATTGATGAAAATGTGATGCGCAAAAATGGCAGATAATAAGGTAGTAATCCGAAGGTATGAAGTTGAGAGAGGAAGTTTTGAAGCTGGCGTGAGGCGAACCGATGATGTTAACCTTCCGACCCGCGCGCCAAGACTAGGAAGCTTCTGCATTCCCGCTGATCCAACTACTTATCTATGGAGTATCTACAGGATGAGCCTACTTGTACAGAAGAAGAAAAAGAGTTTGTTCTTCGCTCCCAGTTACTTGTACAATGTCTGTCCTTCATCTGCATCGGCTTTTTATCCAATGGGGGTCGAACGGCGTCTGGATTTAAGCTCTATGGCAACCTGGGGCAAGATATGGACTATGTCGACTTTACGACTCCAGTGCGGCGGTTTAGTATGATTACTTCATGCTCAAGGTGCAGAGCGTAACTTGGTCAGGTTCTAAGTTGGAATCTCGGATAGAAATTAATGATGCACGACAAAGTGCCTGCAGCATGTACAAGTGGTCATTGTAAATATGTCATATGTAGCATCATCGCCGAAGATCATCTGCCTCATTATGTATAAAAGGAAGACCAAAGAGAAAAGATAGCAGAAAAACAGCCTCATGAAAGTCCCTTGGGTGGAAAAGCCGACGGCTGTTTTCCACCGTCTTTGGTAATTCTGATGAATTTCATCATACTGAGGCCGGACCAGTCTCCGTTCCACGATGCGAGGCCTTTGATCACATCTTCTTGACTTAAATCAGGCATCCAAAATCCAGTCCTGAACTCTTTGTTCTCGACTTCTGTCCGTTGTAGTAAGGCTTCCTCACGCTTGCTTGGAGGTCGGCCTTTCCTCCGCTCACTCTGTAATTGTTCGATCTCAGGGACGCTACGGTTAATATACCTAGCCAAGCAGATGTCAGCATGCGACTTCGCAAGAAAAAGTAACGGCATAGACATACCGCACGACCAAATCCTTCATATCATCTTCTGAGAACGGTTTAGATTCTTCCGCAACGGTTTCTTGGAAGTACGTGACACGATCAACTAGAGAGAGGGTATTAGAGTCAGCTCAACAAGTCCACAGAGAAATTTAAAGTATACACTGACTATAAGACTGTCTTCCACGGGCCATCAATGCTGAGACTCGGGCTACTCGATCGTCCCTTGCGTTGGCTCGGCGCAATCTCTTCGCATCTCTGCTGTTCTCATGGAGCGCATCAATCACACCGCGCTTCTTGGAAATATGTTTGTGTACTTTCGTAAAAGACTTCGGCATTGTGTCGATTCAGAAGCTTCTATACTTGCCAGAGATAGAAGGGTAGTCTGTGAATATACCATCGGCAAAGTCGAAACTTCCTTTTCTGATAATTTCTGGTACGGACGGCAGAATCAACAGGCGGTGATGACGGAGGTAGACACCGCCTCCCTCGACCCAATCACACCGGCTCTCTCGATATACCGCGTTCGCGTGTCGATGGGGGGAACAAGAAGGAACAAACATTCCAGCCTCGTTGTCAGGGCCCAGCATTTTGACTTTGGTCTGTTAGTCAGGGTGGCTGACTACGGTCGTTGATCCCTCTTCTATAGAAACGCGGTATCCCAGCACCCCACGCACTCAAACTCTTCGAACCTTCAGCCTCACAACATTAGAGCTGATGCCCGTCTTGGCCGGTTAAGTGAACGGCAGGAGTGTCTTGCCTTTGCAAGAGTGCCCACCATGGGCATTAAAGGTTAGCTTTCCCTCTTCGCCATGATGAATGGCAGAGAAACTGATTTATTATCCAGGACTCCATGGCCTTCTCAAATCAATTCAGAAGCCATGTCACGTGAAAAAGTTCAAAGGGCAAACCCTCGGGGTAGATGCGTATGGCTGGCTACATCGCGGCACTGTTGCCTGTGCTGTTGATCTCGTTCTCGACAAGCCTACAACGAAGTATGTGATTACAACACAAGACGCTTCGCGAGGGCATGACTGATCTTTCTCCAGACATGTCGATTTCGTCCTTAATCGCGTGCGCATGCTCCTCTACTTCGGGGTAACCCCGTACCTTGTCTTCGATGGAGACAATCTCCCCAGTAAATCCGGTACCGAGTCCGAGCGGCTTCAGAAGCGGCAGGCGAGCAAGGCTCTTGGATTGGAGCTTCAACGGAAGGGTCGTACGGCGGAAGCCTACCAGGAACTACAAAAGGCCGTGGATGTGACTCCTTATATGGCTCGCCAATTGATCGAGGAACTGAAGAAGATGGAAGTCCAGTACGTCGTCGCCCCGTACGAGGCGGATGCGCAGTTGGTATATCTTGAACGGCAGGGCATCATCAATGGCATTATATCGGAAGACTCGGATTTGCTTGTCTTCGGCGCCAAGAGGTTGCTATCTAAACTCGACCAACATGGCGATTGCATTGAGATTAACCGAGCAGACTTCACGGCCTGTCGCGAGGTTAGCTTGATAGGATGGACAGATGCTGACTTCCGACGAATGTGTATCCTCAGTGGCTGCGATTATCTTCCCAACATCCCTAGAATGGGTCTGAAGACAGCTTATCGGAGCATACGAAAGTACAAGAACGTTGAGAAAGCACTTCGTATGCTGCAATTCGATGGTCAATTTCACGTTCCCGCTGATTACCTTGAGAATTTCAAGCAAGCCGAGCTCACGTTCCTATACCAGAGAGTTTTCTGTCCTAAGGCCGGCAAGCTCGTCCCTCTGACTCAGCCCGAAAAGGATGTGAACCTGGAGGAGCTGCCTTTCATCGGTCGCGATGTGGATGCAGAAATCGCGCTCGGTGTTGCACTTGGCGACTTGGATCCAACGACGAAAGAGCAAATTGTGCTAAAAACCCCAGCTCCTGGGAGGATGCCAAGTGGAATTACTCGGCGGCAGACGCTCGGCTCTGCAGCAGAGTTAAAGCCAAAGAAGCCCATCAGCGCGTTCTTTACTCCAAAGCGGATGCCGTTGGCTGAACTAGACCCCAACAGTCTAACGCCGTCTCCGAGTCAGCAACGACTCCTAGAGCGTCATGCCAATAGTTCTTGGGAGAGTAGTCCTGCGCCATCGCGGCCAGGCGTTATGAGGTCGGCGTCTGCTCTGGATTCCTCCAACCGATTATCAAGTCCCCTTGTCAGAAGTGTGGAGCGTACCTCTTTCTTGGCTCGCGCGGCTAAAGCGTCGACTTTTCAACCCGTCAAACGGCAACGCCTTTGCGCCGACACGGAGGAAGAAAGCTTACCGGAGCGTGCGGACTGCCGCAGTCGTTTCTTCGCGCCTTGCACCACCAGCTCTAGTCCAAGTGTCCCGAAAGCTACTCGAACTAAA